ACCGTACAGCGCGAAGGTCAGGATGGCGTTAGGGCTGCAGACCGTCTATTCGGCCATTCCGCTCACAGAAAAGGCCTTCATGTTTTGTTACCATCTGGACAGCAAATGTGCCCTCCTGTGGGAACTTAGTTTTGACCTTTGCTCGTTTTGTTTAAGAATGAATGTAAGGCAAACGTGTAACATTTGCACTAGGGATCTCCTGTCAGCACCGCAGATAGGTCAGGAGAGCTGGCTTGGCTCTGCTTGTGTCGGGTATTTATGATACGTGTAAATAAATGCGGATATTTGAGTTGATTCTTTGTATTTGGCTGAAGCTGGGGAAGAGAGAACCCCTGTTTGAAGCAAGGGTATTCCTAATGTTATCATTTTAGATCTGTGCTTATTAGCTTTAACGTGAACAGCGAGTCCTGCCACATGCCAAGAGCTCCACACAATGTGCTCCTTCATGGCGGTGGCACGGTTGTCATCGGGAGGCGAGCGTATCTGCTGCGGGTCCTTTGATTCATGGCACCTATTGCATGGATCACGGCCATCGGTGAAGCCGATCTCCTGCGGACCGTGAACGCGTTGTTGCTTGTTTCATCAGTCATTAGCACAGACGGGTTGTGATGTTTGGTCATCTCTGGCATTTGGGCTGTTCAGCTGGTGACTGTCGGTCTTGTGTAGCTCAAGCGTGATGGAGCAAGCTAGGATGAGTCCCTCTCCATAGCCATCAGCTGGATTTGGCTAACCAGAGCTGGAGCATGCCTGAGACCCCTGCCTGCAGGCCTTTCTTCTTCTTTCCCTCTAGAAAGTCCTAACATCCAGCAAAACCCCACCATAACCTGGAAACAAAGACCTGGTGCTCTTTTTTGGAGGGGAAGGAAGGGTCACCCTTCCATTTATCAAGCGACCTGGTAGCTCGCCACTAAAACAGTTTGGGGGAGCGGAGTTGAGTGCCCTAAATCAAAAATAAGAGGTTTAATTGCTTAAGCATCTATTGAAGATTGGAGCTGTTGCTGATGGTGCTGGAGCACCCCCGCCCCGCGTTCGCCTGGCTTTGTACGAGCTCGCAGCAGCCCCGGCTCCATCCAGCGCCTGTCAGCTCCCTGCAACATCCCCACAAGATGCTGCCACTCACTTTATAGTGTTTAAACGGGTCTTGCCAAGATTAAATTGGAAAATAAACCCCCGTGGCTAGGCTTGAGCTGCTGAGATTATGAAGATTGATCAAGTAGCGCAATTAAATGTATTTATTAAATAAATGGGTGGTTTATCTTTCTTTCGCCTTGCACCCACGGGGCTGATGCTGAGCTGCCTCTCGCTGGCTTTCAGTGGGTCTCACTGGGCGGACGCTAGGACAGGCAAGGGCTGAATCGAGCCTTTGCTTGGGACTGTTGAGCTAGACCAGCCAGTTTCACTTTTTTGGATGGGTGCATGGTTTCGTTTGCCCGTTTCCTTGCGCCGGCTGAAAAGCTGCCCGGCGCGGGTTCTTCCAGACTGGCCTGGGGGGGGGTTCCATTTGTGCCAAGAAAACTGGGCTTTGACAGTCAAAACAAAACAAACCGACTTTGTCCTTCCATCCCACGTCCCTCCCAGTAAATTAAAAAGCATGAGTCTCTCCTTTTTATTTTTTTTTTTACTTGTAACACAGCTTTGTTTTAAAATGGAAAGCCTGGTCTGCATCCCGCCTGCCCTAGCACCATCCCTTTATATTCTGATTTTGGCAGATGCGGCTCCTGTCCCAGGCTTTGGTTAGGCCAGATGCGGTGGCGGGTCTCCAGGATGCTGAGTCTCTGCCTCGTCGGCTCCCTTCTTTTGTCACCAATAAAGCCATTGAGAGAATCTTTAATAAATAAACAAAAAAGCATTTTTTAACAGATAGTAGGATGGAAAATGACTCATAGGAAAACCGGGTCTAAAGCCCACTCTAGTATTAGGTATTACATGTGTCGAGTTTCTGTTTGGGCTCCAAGAATGCTGTGGTTTTTCTCTAAGGATTATGCCATTGTGGAATAATGTCATTGTGGAGTATTTGGTCACGATGAGCTGATTGAGGCTGGTGGTTATGTACAAATATATATCTGTGTGTTTTTCAGCATTTGGAAAATCTGTGACAAGCAGTTTTCGGGAGGCTACGGGCAATTATTGCCATCACTGTTTCCAGCCCTGCCGAATGCCATGAAAACTGCTGAAGTCATGCTTTCTCCCCTCCATTCCTTTTTTTCATTCATGTAGGACCTACTTTTGTTTTTGGTTTTTTTTTCTTGGGATTGGGTGCAAACAAACTGGGCAGGATCCTTCACGCTGGCGTAGACCTACCAAAGGACTGATCCAGTCCTAGAGAAAGGCTGGGAGGAGCTTGCACAATATTAATGTGAATGAAGAGCAAAGTCTTTAAGGGATGGAA